TCTTCCAGGCGAGTTTCCAGAAAGCGGCCAGTCTCACCAACATATTGTTCCGGACATTCTTTGCACTTCAGCTGATATACAACATTCTTCTGCATACATACATCCTGTCCCCCGGATATACACGAGATACATGGCCCCTTTGGGTGACCTCTCTTTTTCGGTTGTAGCGGATTTGCAGCCTTGACACATAGAGGAGGAACGAGGGCGGAGCGACACAATGTGCGCCTCAGGCTACCAGTGTGCTCATATACGACTCTAACCGGAATTTTATACTTTCTGATTGCTTTATTCACTGCTTGATGTACTTTATCTGACTTATATGGAAGCTTTAGAAATGCGCAGCATGGGTTGGCATGGCGACGACGCTTTGGCCTTATGGAGGCAGTGCGTGCCTCTTCAATGATTTTCTCTGGGTAATTGTTCAATCTTAATTGCTCATGAACCATCGCTTCACTTTCTGCACGCATTCTGGTTGTTTGAATGTTGTTGCTGTTAATCCAGTGTACTCCTTCTTCTCCATACCTGCGGTGAATCTTGCCTTACACACGATGCTTCCCGTTAGACACGCTCCGTCCAGTGGACACGAGTCTTTCGCCCGACAGTTACAAGTCTTGGTGTCGTTCTCGCCTCCGTTGGCTTGTTTCTTGGGTCATAGAATCGTGTTATTGTGTTGTTTGATGATGGTGGATATATTCTGCATGCAACTGTACCCAACTTTTACCGAGTTCCGATTTAAGATTTTGTTGAGGCTTGAGCCTTTGGGGAAGTGTTTGGCCACTAGCTCGAGGAAGCGATGTCCGACGCCGGTGGCGATGTACTTTCTAAATGGTGGATTGAACCATATGATGTTCCGGTAGCGATTCCTTTTCATATATTTTTTTTTTCGTGTTGTGATATTCCTCGATGCGATCTTGTTTCCGTGTCGCTGAAAGAAGTCGACCATTTCTCGCGTATGTGTCACTTTGGCTTCCGACTAGCGGACTGTTGCTAGGATGCCTAGAATAGCGTACACACAGATCCCTCTTTCGTGACGATCATGCACTATGGGATATGGTATCACATCACCACCACACGATGCACGTTCGGAGAAAAATGGGGAAATGGGGAGAGGAGAGTGGAAGATGAAGCATGGGAAGAAGGGAAACAAGTACCTAAATATCGAGGTATAAAAGCAGGAAAGAAATCGACGAAGGAAGAAATCACCTCTGCAGATAATAGCGGGACATTTAGATGAAAAAAAACCAGCAAGGATTAATTTCAAGGAAAAAAAATTCTCAAACGGAAAAGTTCGGAATTCCAGTCAGAGAATATCTATGCTGAGAGTAATGAGCCTTTAGAGCAATGCGAAAATTGACAGAGGACTGAACGCAGCGGATGTGTTCTGGAAGTTTGTTCCATTCCACAGATAAACTGAAGAGAGGGGATTTAAGGAAATGGGCGCCAGAACGAGGTAAAACTATAGAGGACGGGTGACGACAACTAAGGGATACATTGAATTTGAAACGAATTAGCAAAGACGGAAACTGGTAAAAGACATGATGAAAATACAGCAAGGACAGAATCTGACGACGCCACTTCAGGGATGACCAGTCACAAGTACGATTAAGAATCTGCTTCGGGGTTTCCCACTCAGGAGGGTGCCGGGTCTTACAAAGCAGATATGAACGAGCAGCAACGGCTTGCAGTCGGTCTAACGTAAGCGAATCTGAATGGGATACGGCGAATGACCAGACAGGGACTGCGTATTCTAACAGTGGTCGTACGTAACACTTGTAGAGCAAACTCACGGTTGAAGCAGAAAGGAAATGGGCCATATGGCGCAACAGAAAAACACGACTGCGAAACTTATGGGTGATAGATTTTATATGGTCAGAAAAATTTAGTGAAGGAGTGATAGTCACGCCGAGATGACAGTGGCTATCACCTTTCTGAATAGGCACACCGTTCATTGTCAAGGGGGATGACGGGCCGGGGGCTAATGCATATTTTTGAAAGGGTAGGTGGACGCATTTACTGGTGTTAAACGTCATGGCAGTAGCTGATGACCATTGACAACACTTATCAATGTCAGTCTGGAGCAATGCATGATGGATAGGAAGTGAGGTGTTTGCTGGAGAAACAAGAATTAAATTAGAGTCATCAGCAAAAAGGGATAGGGTACTAGAAGCAGGGGCATCAGGAAAGGAGTTGATGCACAGGTTAAAAAGAAGCGGGCCGAGATGGGAACCTTGGGGTACGCCAGCGGTGATGGGCAAAGGGTCAGAAAGAGTTTGGCCAATGCGAACGCAAATACTACGATCACTGATGAAGTCCTTCACCCAAGAACAGGCAGAAAGAGAACACCAACCTGAAACAGATTGAATAACTAAATGATGACTAACTCTGTCAAAGGCCTTAGAAAAATCAAGGAACAGCTGGTCACAAGAAGACTTAGAGTCAAATGCACGCGAAACAATTGAGGTAAGCTGTACCAATTGGTCAACTGTTGACCTCTTTCGACAAAAGCCAAACTGGCTGGAACTGATAATTTTATGGCTCTCAACAAACGAGTAAAACTGACGGCTAATCATAGACTCATACAATTTGGCAACTGCATTTAACAGCGATATAGGACGGTAATTGACGGGGTGAGAAGGATTACCTTTTCCCTTGAACACAGGTACAACAACGGCAGATTTCCACTCCCTGGGCTGAGTACTGGACAGCAAGCAGCGGTTGAAAAGGGCGGAAAGAGACTGTGACGTGAACTCAGCTGTTTCACGGAGGATGCGATTGTTCAGCAGTCCAGCGGTTTTACGTTGAATGGGAAGTCTGGATAGCGTGTCAAATACGGACTGTACAGAGAATGGTTGTATGGAGAACTTCACAGTGGACGTGGGTGTTAAAATACCAGCTGAGTGCAGGTCAGGTGTTAGCAGTGGCGCCTGGCTGTAGCTCGCAAACACTTTGGCTAGGAGATTCGTCTTTTCCGTATTACTCGTGGCTGGGTAGGCTTGGTTGTCATGGTAGAGGTCAGGGATAACCGGAGACGGGCGATTCACATTACAAAGGATCTTTGCTTTGCGCCACCATGTACGGGTTCCATGATGCTGAGCCATGTCTCTCGCCATCCTCTCGTGATAATGGCGTTTCGCCTTCCGGAGCAAGGAAGTAAGACAGTTACGTGAGAGTCTATACGCTATCCAACTATCTGTAGATCCGAGACGTTTGGCCTTGGCGAAGAGGCGATCCCGAAGCCGCCTCTGACGATGGTGAACAGCAGAGTACCAAGGCTTGTTCGATGGAAATGTGCTTCTCCGGACAACGGGAACAAACAACGATACAGAGTCTTCCAGCGCTGTGCGCCACAATGACCAGGCCTCATCAACTGTTTGCGCATTTTGGACGGCATCTAGCAAGGGTAGTTGCCACACGTGGTTGTTAAATGCTTGCCAGTCCGTGTGGGCAAAGTCGAGCCAGGTGTTTTGTGCAGAAGATATTTGGGCTGTGGAGCCTGCTGGAAATTTCGTCTCCACCTCGCCAATAACCTCAAAAATGCAGTCAAAATGTAGAACTAATGACTAGCTAGATCTTTGTCAGGATCAGGTTTTCGTACATGTATGTAATGCCTTCAGGGCCCAAATGTTAGTGGACATAGTGGAAAACAGTAGTAGTGCACCCTGTAAAAGGCCTTAGGCATGTGGGGATTGCCCTATTCGAAATTTAAATAATACTACAAAATAGAAAATAAAATAGCACACAATAGGGTCTACGGTATTTCGTAGATCTGTACAACTGGCATAAGGCTTATATTATAGTACACATTATACTATGAAATACGACAGGGTTGTCGCTCTGGCTATACGGTGGATGGCCCACGTCAGTTCATTACGCTCTGCTCATATTTCAAACACACATGCAGTTATCTTATCGAGCTACTGGTAGGATTTCATCGGCCATCATTGCATCAACCACTACATGTACATTTACTCTTCAGCGTGGTACCGAGCAACATTTCTCACTATAGTCTGCAATCAGATTTTCATTCTCATCAACAACACGGAAAAATTCATCATTGCGGGTCAACGACAGTCATCTGTATTTCAATTTGCACCGATGCACCCATGTTACAATATTCTGGACATTGGTGGGGCTTTCGATACGACATCTAGTAGGAAGTAGCACTAGAGGATTATTATTGTTTGGCGGTGGGAGTCCCAGCAGCCATGGAAATATTACAGGAAACCCTGCGCAAAGCTGCATGCACGTACAGTGAGCACAAATGGCAAAAGATTGTCCCTTACGACAATGGGAAGGAAGAGCTTTCAATCATCAGCCACCAGAGATTGAGCGCAATGCGTATGCAATAATGTATGTGAGGTAGGTAAAAGGGAAGGAGTTGTATCCTGGCCGCAAGCACGAGCATTTGTGTTTAATCTAGAAGAAATTCTGATTGAGAGTACTGGGGCAGCTATTGGGTAAAATATACGAAAGATAATAATCTAAGCTTTTGAATTATCTATCTGCTCAAGCGATTACGGATGATACCTTGGAAGAGCTACGTAGTTTCACGTGTTGAACATTATAGTCTAAATCCGCTACTGCAGTTATTTTGTTTTAGCGCCTTTCCAGTGTTCTATTAACACCCCTCGTTCTCAATCAATTATTGATGTTCTTCCTCTCCTTTGACTTCAAAAAATCTCAGATTTCGAGTTTTTTGCACTCAATACATAATTTTAATTATGTTATATGTTTGGTGAGACTCCCAAGATAGGTGCCTATTTACCTCTGGGGAATCCGTAAAGAAAGCAAAACTGAAACTAAACTGAAGAGCTAAATGAGCCGACGCAACCGCTCGGAAGTGGGAAACACTTGATCAGGCGAAGCATCCACGACGTGTATGTACCATTAGAGGTCAGATACCGTAGGTACAACTGACACACAAACTTGAAAAGGTACGCTGGCTCTGAAAGATGCGGGAAGGACTAAGCTACAATGTGTGTGTTGGGATTTGAATAGACTAGACTGCGATTGCTCCATCCGTTCGAGTTTCTTCTTTTAGCTCTGAAAGGTTAGTGGACATTGGATAAGACCACCCATGTTTTGGCAGGTTTATATTCTGCTTGATGAAGACTGGTTTCCGACATGGCATCACCTGCCGGGCAGTCAGATTATTCGTTTTGCACGCTCATGTAGGTGCTAGGCTGCTAGCACCGTTACTCCTTGTTTGCCTAATGTTTGTAATCTGACTTTTCCTATAAAATCATGAATTGCAGGCACACTCTGTGAAGAATATCATTCCTGGATACCATACCTGTTCCTGTACGAAGAACACCCCTTGAGAGGTGAGTGAATGGCTTGCCCTTACATTGCAGTGACTACCACATGCAACCAGACTGGCACAGTGGGTTGGTCAAAGACCATGATTGAGATACGAGAGGTACCTGTTTCAAGTCCTGCCTGGGAGCGGTTTTTCCAGCTGTGCTGCTACTCACAGTCAACTGGGAACTTGTGGCCAGGCACATGGATGCAGCTAATGGGGTCGTTCTCGGCACTTGTGCCAGTGGTTGTAAGACTTATCCACTCACCCCCACCGTTAGGCGCTGCATCTGCCGCTAGGGTTTACCGGGTGTTCGCGGGCGTTGTGAGTTCCCTTCGGGAACGGACACGATAATTTACTTTTTTACTTTTTACCACATGCAAGGTGGCTTTTGCCTGCTTTTAGCTTTGAATCATTTCTGTTTTCCTGACCGCTATACTGTTAATAATGATAATGTTGAAAAAGGCATTTAGTAGCTTTCACCCATTGAAAATTCTGCGTACCACCACTACCCTTAGGCATTGTGGACGACCACACACACTTTCCACAACAGCAAAACGTTCACCAGGAGTACTGATTCTACTGAACGTGTTATTCCGTCTGACCTCGTCAGAGAAGGTTGAATTGTTACTGTAAAACCGGAAAGTCTAACGGGTCACAAAGCCTAACGTTTTAACGACTAATTCTTCGCTATTTGAAGAAACGTTGTCCAGAACCCAGTATGTGAAAATGCGCATACATCGATGAATATTCTTGGTGGCCAGGTAGCCATCGTTAAATTGTCTGCACGTTATCATGCCAACATTACAAAAACGTTAATCATTTTGGTCGCTAGACTTTTCGGTTTTATAGTATATGACTAGAAAAGAAAGAAGCACCTATTGCACTCTTCTCTGATCAATAAAACAAGACATGGAGTGCTAATGTGCTCGCTTGATACCCTAACGCATTTCCAGCACTTTTTCGAACATTATACGCCGAAAAACCAGTTGGGGGCTGAGCGGGATAGAGCGGGTGCGCTAGTTTCGATCGTGGAGTGAATACAGGGGCGTTGGGATTTAGTCGTCGTTGCTGCAGCGTTGTGTATGTTGGTTTGTTAGCATGACAGTTCAGGATTGATCATGACTGCCTCGCCGCGAAGTAGCAGACGACTTGTTACCTTGGGCATCAGCAAAGCGCCACTTTCGCACCGCGTACTGGATTATAGAAGTAGTGTAGACATGCTTGCATAGTGAATGATAGTTTTAGTTCTGCAGTCTGATTAGTGTGTTTTGTTTCGAACGCGAGTGTCTGTGTAACGGCGAAGAAGCCCAGTGCCTTTGGTTGTGGCTTTGGTGTGTGAGAAATCCAACTAGTACTAGTTATGGTAACACTTGAAAGTACCGCCATTCCGGCAACAGGCTCTCAGCTGCACCAAATAGATAATTTTGCCAATATTTCGCCAATTGGGCATCATCAGGGCATTGAGGAAGGGGAGGCAAAAAACACGAAAAGACGAATAATGCAGGTAGATGAATGTTCTAGAACTAACACGTCCTGGTGACACAATTGGCAAGGTCAGCAACCAAAACAATCACTACTTGTAAGGTGACCTAAACAGAACTAAAGAAGAGAAAACTCACACATGATTACCTCATTGTATTTCTACATGGGTCTGTCTAGCTGCATACGTGCCACAACGTGAGGATCAATGGCCGTTGAATATTTTAGTTCGCCAAATATGCGCTCTTGGTCGGATTTCACCAACGGTGTACTTCAAGTAACTGACTCTAGACACTGGAAAATGGGCATTATATGCACAGCCTATGAATTTCAGGCTAGGAGATATGAGATAGAATTTACACGAAAGAGATTGTGAATTTTCGAAACGGTCAGTTAGCCTTGTTGAAAGAAGTTCAACCAGTGCAATATCATACTTATCTGTTTCATCCTCTCCTCCGCAGATCGAAAGTGATCTACCACACGCGATGGAGCACCAAGAGAATCCTAATATATTACTTTTGGAGTGGGAATACTTTCGTGGAGAAGTGTTTTATCCCATTCAAAGGACCATTGGAGATGAGTTTCACATACACGAACTTCTCGGCTACGGAGAGACTTCCAAAGTCTATCGCGGACTTCACGTCAGTACCTCCACGCAGGTAAGAAAACCAGCGGTAAAAGTATCCGCATTTAGTTGAGAAGGAGCGTGAAGATTTTGTGCTTGATTTGTACATGTATGCTCAGAAAGTGAGTAACCAGCCCCATTGTGCGCGTTTGCTTGGTGCTCGTCTTTAAAATTGTTACGATGCATGTTATCTCCGACGCCACGCGCAATTTCACGTCAAATTTGGCGTAAAACTCCAAATTTCGACGTGAACTGCCGGTCATTAGCGTTGTTTTTCGAAGCGCCAGCCAAATAAGGGAAAGAGTTGGTGGACAAGCCGTTGATTATTCATTGTAATATTTAAAAAGTATTCTTTCAAGACCAAAGAGTGGTATATTTGATAAAAAGAATTAATAACGATAGTAATATTTACGATACTTCTCCAGACGTTTCATTGTTCTGAACAACATCGTCAGTGGAGTCTTCGTCAGTCTTTATCCACTGACGATGTTGTTCAGAACAACGAAACGTCTGGAGAAGTATCGTTAATATTTCTATCGTTTTTAAAATTTTTATCAAATAAGGGAGCTGAACTTTAGCATCACCTCGGAAATAACGTGCCACTTAACCTCTCTTACGAGGGCGCTTACGAAGAAGACCCAAGACAATTCCTCATCATTCAGAGAGATTCCTTTTTGAAACACTGCATTTACAATTCTCACCACCCCAAAGCTCACCTTTAATATTATTATGCGATTTTCTCAACACTGCGAAGATGTATATCTTAAATAATCTACGTGAAGATAAAGGTTTAATAATAGCTACGAAAAGTATGAATGCCGCAGACATCACCACGCAACATGACAATTTGTTCAGGTTTTAGATTGTGTGTTTCCAGAATCGATTTTCAAGCTGACACTGTTTAAGAAAAGAAATATTCAATGAAATGCAACGACAAACATGGCGTTTTCGCAGCGAGGATCATCATAATAATATTTCCGGGGGCTCAAATCATAATTCAAAGCCAACCGGGGCATGCAGTAGCGTAGGAAGTTTACTACGAGCAGGTCCCGTCACCTGCAATTACATGTCCCACAAACATGTAGGTTTGCAATGGGCAAACCAAAGTTATCATGCCACAGAAGCACTCGCGGCCAGCGCCTCGCAGGCAGTCCGCAACGCCGGCTGTCATCGTACATCGTCCCCAAGCGTGGGAAAATGGCACATGCGCAAGCGTGAGACTCGCAGCCTTGCTGGCAAAGAACAGCAGCGAGACCTTTCTATGCAAACAAATTTGTTTGAGCACCTTGGCTTGCAATATCAGCAGTGTTGTGCGAATTTTCTCCCGCCCACCACAACCCACTTCTAAGTTCTAGCGCCTCCAGAAAGGGGGGAAGCAAGCAAAGCCCCTCAGCCGAATGCATTTTGGAACAATTCTCTGCATTAGCTTTCAAGCACTGGCGGCACGCGCTGCCCAGCAGCAGGACCACATGGTCCCAGCAGGACCAGCTGGTCCCAGCAGGACCAGCTGGTCCCAGCATAGACACATTGTGTCCAGCAGCCGGGCCAATTGGCCCCAGCATACAGAAGGACCGTCCGGTCCCAGCAGTCATTTGACTACCTGCGCACAGCCGTGCCCCACATGGGCACAGCAGCATTAATTAGGACCACATGGTCCCAGCAGGACCAGCTGGTCCCAGCATAGACACATTGTGTCCAGCAGCCGGGCCAATTGGCCCCAGCATACAGCAGGACCGTCCGGTCCCAGCAGTCTTTTGACTACCTGAGCTGCGCACAGCCGTGCCCCACAAGGGCACAGCAGCATTAGTTAGGATCATTGGCCTTAATCTCTTGCACTGCCTGCCATCTACCAGCAATGTCACAGAATTTTCTACAATCCCGCTTTGCGGGGCCGCCTGGTATAAATGCATTGTTGCAAACAATTCGCAGATTACAAATTCTGTTACAAAAACACTTGATATGATCCAGCCGCAGCAGCTCGGCGACCCCAACTTCCACTTGCTTGATGTGCGTGTGGGTGATAAAGTGAAAGGCATGCTGCTAGATTAGTTATGCTCCAATTTGCATGAATGTCATACTGCGCAGCTTTTTTTTTTTCTTTTTTCTGAAAGTGCACATGCCTACATCGAATGGAAGAGAAAAACAACATCAAGAGAACATAGGGGACTACAAAGGGCTGGTGATGTTGGTTCCATTATGAGAGCCAAGGACCATGTGTTAGCCCTTGCCGATGGTTTTTTCCCCCTGCTCGGTAATCTGTTGCTGTGTCGTACAGGTTGCAATCAAGCGGAGTTTCGAAGATCGGAGGTCATTGGTGGCGCTGGACAGGGAGGCATATGCACTGCGTACATTTTGCCACCCGGTGATTCCTTTCTATTTTGCATCCATAGTCACAGCATGGGGGTGGTGTGTTATCCGGGAGCTGGTAGAGGGCGGTAAGCAGGTTTTGAAATCCAATATAACGTTATCAGTTTTATGTGCAATTGCAGTGTCTTTCTATTTCTGAAGTCTCGTCACTATTGCCGATACCTCCCAAGGTCTTCCTCACACCAACATCACACGAAGAGTACATGATCACCCACCCATAATTATGCGTGATGTGCACATTGTAAGCGATGCTCACTGGCGACGCTTCCCTATATAGTGCGATGAAATGGCAACAAAATGCATCTGAGCATTCCAGCGGTCGCTCTTTCGTAGTCGTACAATACCGTGTTGGGTCTTTGCGATGTGATTGCAACGCTCAAGGGTTCGGGTTTCAGGTCCCAGACCTATACATGCAGGCACAACTACAAACGCTTGACCTGGGAGCTCTCAGGTGGCCTCTCATCCTGAAGCCAATTCCCCTTTTTCTCTTTCATCGCAACAAACAAACAAACAACGCGAAACCCGCCCGTTAAGCAACCTTCATTTCACAATACAATTCCACTAAAAACTATGCCCAGGACAATAATGATGAACCACTGGCAGCTAAAATATGTGTTAGGCCTAACCAGATGTACGGTAAAACCTGTAACTAAAGACCACTATGACTAGCGACCAGCCTGGTACTACAGTAAAACCTGTAACTAAAGACCACTATGACTAGCGACCAGCCTGGTACTACAGACCACTTCACCCGGCACGGACGGGCTCACATCCATTATTATGATTGTGCGGTGCAAACCTCTAATTAAGGACCACCTGCCACTAAAGACCAATTTTTTTTGGCCCCAAAGGGGTGGTCTTCAGTTACCGGTTTTACTGTATTCCAGGAAAATGTAACTTTGCTGGCTAGCTGCTTGGACTAGACCGCCAAATTAGTGTGGGAACGAAGGCCGACAAGATGCTCGTGACAACGCGGTCGGTGAATGAAGCACAGCGTGAACGTGCTCGACAGAAGCAATTCTTCATTCCATCATGTCTCAAAATGTTTCGAAACCCCAAAGGCATAAATTTAACTGACTGCGGCACATATTAGGATCTTTTTTACTGGTATCCTGCTGCCTACGTTGACACAAGGACGAATGCGTCATAGCGGGTGGGGCAACACATCTCCTGTGTCTGTGTGCACGGTAGAGTAAGTTATCTGTTCTCGTTGTGATACTTCATCATTATTATCACTGTACTTAAAACAATAGGAGGACACAAAAAGTGTTTTTACTCCGAGTTTCACGCACTTAGGCCTCGGTCACACTACGGCAAGTTTGAAGCTGGACGCAGGGTCAAGTCGCAGCAGTTGACGCAGACGCGGGGTCGCACAGTGTTTTGTTTTTCTTGCAGCTGGCGCATTTGTCTACGTCACAAAATCACCAGTGAAACTCAATGATGACACGGATTCGCACGGAAACGCCACGGAAACCGGCCTTTTGCTTATTGTACAAAAAATGTCGGACAAAGTTTTAAATTTTTTTATTGATTTTTGATTACAAGAACACGAAAGGTCCACGCGTGCACGATCGTTGTTGTTTCTTTCCGAATTTGAAGCCATTTTCAGTTGTGTCATGGATCAGGCAAGAAAAGTCCGCATCGCAGCTGTGTTTCTCCTGACTTCGTCATACTAGTTGTCCTTTTTGGCGCTCTTGACGACAACACAACACTCACAAGTCAACAGCCTCCAGTTGGCCAATGACCCACTCAGACAACTGGTCCTTTCTTGACTTTATTTTCTTCTCAGAAAACGCCTCGCTCTTCCGCCAGGTTCGGAGCAGAGCAGCATCGGCCTCGTAGGTCCACGGACTCATCTCGGGAAAAAAGAGGAAACAAAACAAACCTTGAAGAGACGAATGTCGAATCATCGTATGACTGCTCAACTCGAGCAACTGTCTTGAAACTAATTTTACTTGAAAGACACTGTTTTTCGCCAAGCGTCACTCCCATCAGCGGCAACGCAGCCGATTTCCCCACGTCAGACGCAGCAGCGTCTGACGCTCAAACTTGCCGCTTTTGCGTCAGTTGCCATGGAAAAGCTCATGATTCTGACGCTGATGCAGCATTTTTGCCGTAGTGTGACCGAGGCCTAAGCGATAATCAGAAAACAGTAAATGAGAAATCTGGATCAGTATTGGTTTATATACCCACAAAGCAAGTGTATATAGCTGCAGCATGGCTGTGACGGGAATGGTCTTAGAGACTGCTTCTCCCATTCCCGTTGGCCTTCCAATAACGTAATTACTTACACTCTTCCTGCATGCTCCGAATTACTTATTATTATTCAGGCATAATGTACAACTATTAGTCTACACACTTCATTTCTACACATCCTCATTCTACCTCCCACACCGTACTCTACACACAGCGGGGAGTCGAATACGACTCCGTGCATTTGATTATGAAAAGATGAAGCTGGCCACGACGAGGTTTTCCCCTCAGTTCTTGGTTAGTCCAGAAAAGAGTGAGATTGATTTGTCGAGTGAGCTGGGTCTCTTACATGGTGTCAGAACTGATCTAGAGCATTGTTCGTCAGGCTCTTGTATCCACGCCCGCGCCGTTTGTCGGCCACGCCGATAGCCCACTTGAATATTTCCGTTTGTCGGAAGGTTTTTTGTTGTTGTTGTTGCTGTCAGTCAGCATCGCCATAATCCCATGGACTTGGCGCGATTAGCATTTGCTCGTCAGGAGCAGCTTCGAGGATTTTGCCGGGACCGCCATCTGCCCATGGCAGGGACGCGAGCTGATTTGGTCCAACGCCTACTGGCACACCACGTCGATGTTGTGACGGATTTCGAGGACGTGGCGGAATACGAAACGGAGGCAGAGGACGCGGAGGCCGAGGGTCGGACAGATTATTTGAGTGGCAGCATAAAATTCGAAAGTCCACCCAACGCTGTTCGCGGATCCGTACACGGCAGCACCGGCCCTGCACGGCCCAGGCCCATATCGGCACCCTGGCCACGCGTCCCTCGTCGCCCCTCGAGCGACCCTGCGACAGCCATATCGAGCACTCCAGCGCTGGAAGCGTACGGACGAGGCCAAATGCAGCAGTCTCCCCGCTTCCAAGCACAGCAGTCGCTCCCGCATATGGCACCACTGCCCGATGTGTCAGTTGGCGCTCCTGGTTTGGCGAGTCCAGCTGGGTGTGAAGGCATTGATCCCACGGACCAAGTGTCTCTACTCACCCAACTGGTCACCCAGCTGACACAGGCACAGCTCTCAGCCATGGAGCATACCACCAGTAAGCCACCAAAGGTCCCCATCCCCAACCTGAAGCCATCTGAGGATATTGAGGTCTTCCTCACTGGCTTCGAAAGACTGATGGAGACGTACCAGGTGAACAGTTCCCACTGGGTGGCACTGCTGAGCCCCCGCCTCAGTGGTCCCGCGCTGCAGGCGTACGTCTCTCTGCCACTCACACAGGCTCGCGAATATCCGCTTCTAAAGGCGCAGATCTTACTCCGCTACGCTGTGACTACAGAGTCTAGCCGCCGTCGGTTCCGGGAGGTGGTGATGCGCCCCGCTGACTCCGCCATCGAGCTTGCCACCCGGATTCGAGACCACGGGTCACGTTGGTTTCGCTGTGCCCCGACCAGGGATGACGTTATCGAACTGGTCTTGCTGGAGCAGTTCCTGTCCGCAGTGCCGCAGTCGCTAAGAGTCTGGCTCAAGGAGCGAAAACCAGCGTCCTTGTCTGCAGCCGCATCACTGGCACAGGACTACTGTGACGCTCGTGGGCCGAGGGAGACCACATCCGCTTATGCCCGATGCCATACTTGCCACCAGGCTGGCCATCTGGCCAGGGACTGTCCCCAGCGGCGCCCGACTGCATCTTTGCCTAAGGCGACAGACTCTGGGAGTAAGGGCCCAGGATCCGGCTCTTTCCCCGGTTCCTCGGCACCACCGATGCAAATGGACCCTGCTGGCAAGGGCCCGGTTGCTGGTACGTTTCCAACCAGGCCACCTCTCCCACTCAAGCGCGCGCCCGGTTCAATGCTGCCGCGATGCTACGATTGCCACGAACGTGGGCACATTGCTTTGAAATGTCCAAAGCGCAACGAGTCGGTGGCATTGCTCGTTGACCCAACTGGTACGCCCCCGCAGGATCCTGCGACGCATCCTCCGACATCAGGTGATGTCGACCTATCCGAGGACGACTTGTTGGGGGAGGCCTACTATTGTGCAGAGATGACCGCCAACCAGGGTTCGTGCATCCCTACGTGCCTACTCACCGACCCGCCCTCGTCCAGCGATCCTTGTCCTGAATTTATTGTCTCTGGCGTCGTCAACGGCCAATTTGTACCCCGCATCGTGGTGGACACAGCTTGCGGCCGAACTATGATTCACGACAGCCTAGTCCACCCCGACCTACTCACTGGGGAGCGGATCACCATTCGCTGTGCTCATGGCGACGAGGTACACTATCCGTTAGCTAGAGTAACCATTGCTATTGGAGACAGCACATATTATGTGCAGGCTGCAGTGTCACCCCGTCTGCCTCGACAGGTGCTCCTTGGTCGGGATGTACCAGACATATCACTCCTTGTCACGGGGGCTTCTTCCCCATGCACAGAGGCGCTCGCAGCTGTGACTAGGGCCCAGACCAGGCAATCGCAGCCTACCAGCACTCCTGGTGCCCTTGGTACCATTTTCCCATTTACGGATGACCTATTTGACTCCGAAGCCCCGACTGCACTCACTAACCCCGCAGACGTACCTCATTCCTCTCCAGTCTCAGCCGAATATACCGTGACCCCGACCAATCCAGAGCTCGTGGGCGATGCTTCGACATTTGCAGCGGCACAACGACAGGACCCCACCCTGCGGGTGTGCTGGGACAAGGTCACGCAATCATCCTCCACAGGCAAGGAGGTCTTTTGTGTCCGAGACGGCCTCCTGTATCGTGAGTTCCGCCCGGGCGAAGATGCCACGGCGCAGGACACCTACCGCCGTGCTCAACTGGTACTTCCCGACAGCCGGCGGAGCATCATCCTCCAGCTCGCTCATGCGGTTCCTATGGCTGGACACATGGGACGCGACAAGACGGCGCAACGCATCCTACTGCACTTCTGGTGGCCGAATGTCATGGCTGATGTAGCTCGTTATTGCGAGTCCTGCAAAATGTGCCAAAAATGCGCCCGATCCTTGACCAGCGACCGGGCTGAGCTGATCCCGTTACCTGTCATTGGTGAGCCATTCCGCTGCATTGCACTCGACATTGTCGGTCCCCTTGAAAGGACTGCCTCCGGCAAGAAATACATCCTCACTGTGGTCGATCGGGCAACACGTTACCCCGAAGCCATCCCACTTCGTAGCATCGATGCACCTACCGTGGCCGACGCCCTTATCTCCATATTTAGTCGTGTGGGACTGCCGGACACGATTCTGAGCGACCAAGGTTCCAACTTCACCTCCGAGGTTATGCGCCAGGTGTCCACGCTGCTCCGGATCAAGCTAATCACCAGCACCCCATACCACCAGCAAACAAACGGCTTGGTGGAACGCTTCAATGGCACGCTCAAAACCATTCTCCGCAAGTTCGCCACGGAGGCTCCCCGACACTGGGATGAACTCATCCCATATCTGCTGTTCGCATACCGGGAGGTCCCGCAGTCCTCAACCGGGTTCTCACCATTCGAGCTACTGTACGGTCGCCATGTGCGGGGGCCTCTAGCACTCGTCCGGGACGCCTGGGCCAACCCGGCCGAGGAGGAGTTCACATCCACAGCCCAGTACGTGATTGACATGCGCGAGCGCTTGGACCAGGTCAGTTCAGCTGCGGCCACCAACCTCCTCCGGGCACAGGACAGACAAAAATCCCATTACGATCGTCACAGCTGCCATCGGAGCCTTCAGCCAGGCGACCAGGTCCTTCTCCTTCTGCCCTCCTCTCCGAAGAAGTTGGAGGCCATGTGGCAGGGGCCCTTTACAGTCACCCGCCAAGTGGACAGCGTCAATTATGAAATCGACCTGGGTCCCCACCGCCGTAAGCGACTTCGTACTTTTCACGTAAACTTGCTGCGCACGTTCCGTCAACCACAACTTGCCGCTTTCACAGCGTTTGGTTACCCCGACGACGAGGACCCGTCCACCGAGCAGCTGTTGGAGGACAGCTCCCCTCTGTCTCTGGGCCCGCCGGCCTCACCGTCGATCAACCCTAGCCTCTCTGCCGATCAGCGTGCTCAACTGTCGGCAGTGCTGGATGACTTCAAGGCCACGCTGGACCCATCTCCCGGCCGCACCAACATCTGCTCTCACCAGATCCATACAGGCTCTGCCAAACCCATCCGCAGCCGCCCATACCGGCTCGCCCAGGCCCATCACCGTCTCGTCCAGGCGTCCGTGGACGAGATGTTAGCCATGGGTGTCATCCGACCGTCCACCAGCCCCTGGTCCTCGCCAGCGGTGCTCGTGCCGAAGAAAGACGGAGACATCAGATTCTGCGTTGACTATCGGGGCCTCAACCATGTGTCCGAGTTTGACGCCTATCCCATGCCCCGGGTGGACGAGACTCTTGACCGAGTCGGCACAGCGCAATTTATCTCCACCTTGGATCTGTCACGTGGATATTGGCAGATTCCTCTCGACGCTGATGCGTGCGCTAAAACGGCGTTTACTACACCTTCCGGGCTCTATGAGTTCACCGTCATGCCGTTTGGCCTGCATGGGGCACCGGCGACATTTCAACGCTGCATGGATTCTCTCCTCCATGACCTGCCCTTTGTTGCTGCCTATTTGGATGATGTGGTCATCTTCAGTCGCTCTTGGGCGGAGCATCTTCGCCATTTGGCCATGGTATTACATCGCCTCCAGGCCGCTGGGTTGACAGTCAAGCCACAAAAGTGCTCCCTCGCCATGCAGGAGACCAAGTTCCTCGGCCATGTCATCGGTCTCGGTCATGTACTGCCCGACCCCGAGAAACTTCTTGCCATCCACTCCTGGCCGCAACCCACGACCAAGCGACAGGTGCGTTCCTTCCTCGGCTTATGTGGGTATTACCGGCGGTTCATTGCATATTTCTCCGCCATTGCTGCACCTCTTATTGCTGCTACAACCAAATCCGCCCCGGTGCGGGTGGTCTGGACGCCGGCCCTCGATCATGCCTTCCAGACGCTCAAGGACCAGCTAGTACGGGCTCCTGTGCTGTCCTGTCCCGACTTCAGCCGACCGTTCATCTTGCACACGGATGCCTCTGACTTGGGTCTTGGTGCCGTGTTGTCCCAGACGGTGGGGGAACAGGAACATCCCATCGCCTATGCCAGCCGGAAGCTCCTCCCCCGAGAGCGACGCTATGCTACCATCGAGAAGGAGGGTTTGGCCATCAAGTGGGCGCTGCAAAAGTTTGCGCCCTACCTTCTCGGTCGGCGTTTCACCCTCATCACGGACCATCGCCCTCTGCAATGGATCGCCCAACATAGCAGCGGGAATGCTCGTGTGGCCCGTTGGTCCATTGCTCTCCAGCCGTTTGCATTCGACGTTCTCTATCGCGCGGGTGCCAGTAATGGAAATGCTGATGCTTTATCCAGGCAGTGAGGCGGCTCAGCCTCTGTCGTCGCAAGCTGGCTGCTTGCGACTTGTGAAGGGGGAAGGTGTGACGGGAATGGTCTTAGAGACTGCTTCTCCCATTCCCGTTGGCCTTCCAATAACGTAATTACTTACACTCTTCCTGCATGCTCCGAATTACTTATTATTATTCAGGCATAATGTACAACTATTAGTCTACACACTTCATTTCTACACATCCTTATTCTACCTCCCACACCGTACTCTGCACACAGCGGGGAGTCGAATACGACTCCGTGCATTTGATTATGAAAAGATGAAGCTGGCCATGACGAGGTTTTCCCCTCAGTTCTTGGTTAGTCCAGAAAAGAGTGAGATTGATTTGTCGAGTGAGCTGGGTCTCTTACAATGGCGCAAATCTAAAAGTTGAGAATGGCGGCAGTGCCAAGCGTAAATGACTGCATCATGGGGCAAATCTAAAAGTGTGAATGACAGCAGTGGTGAAAGGTGACAACCACTGTACTTATTCTGTTCTCTGCTTCTAGTTACTCTGGATTTGTCACCAGGCTTTGGCGATCCAACTGAATTCCAGGCAGCCAGAATCTTTGGTCAGTTGGCGGATGGTCTTAGCTACTTACATGCATCGGGCACCGTACATGGGTAGGTGGCCTAGTTCTACTTTCTTTACGTAGTTCCACTCAATCTGCTCTCAGAGATGTTACTCCCATGCTTCTCCGTCTTGACCGTTACTTTTCTTCTTTAATTATTTTACTCAGCATGGTTGGCTAACACCAACATCTCCCGTACTGGCTGATATTCTTTTCATGTTATGAGGTGCTGTCTATAATATTAATAATAATATTAATGTGGTTGGTCCCCTGGGGGAGGGAGAAAGACCCAAGTGCCATCAGTATGTGTGGCACGTGTTGTGAGCTGCCTTTGGAGTGAAAACCTTGTCGGCGCCTTCTAGGTTCAGCCCGGTCCCATAGCTCAGTGGTTAGAGCATTGCTCATGAAAAGCAAGGTCCCGGGTTCGAGTCCTGGTGGGTCTGGCGATGTTTTCTCTTTTCAGGCAGTTCACTTCCCCTACTGTTCCTTTGAATTTGAAGTTCTCCCAATCCTTTCATAAATATTAATAATGTTAATAATTATTATAGATAATAATAATTATTATATATATTATTATTATATACCTCCTGTGTGGACTCATCAGCGCAGCACAGACAAATAAGGCAGAATGAGAGAGAAATGAAAAATGAATTTTCAAAAAGACGGACTGCTCATTGTTTCCTCAAAGAGTCTGCACTACTTGGGTCTGGCGGTGATTGTTTCGTATCACGGTTCGTTTGGCATCCACTGGCTCCGCTGCATGCTACACTTCTATTAGGCGCCGTCCACAAAATTTAATATCGATATTCTTTAGAGAAGATATTTGTTCGCTTGGGGGGTTAGGAGGGTTTTTTGTCCCTGTTCGTCTCGTCCCTTTGAAAAATATCGATCTCTAACTTTGAGCGAGCACTGTACAAACATGCAGTTGATGATCTACCCAGAGTGGAAGTCAACCCCAACAATACAGCCATGGCAAGGTTGAGAGAGTCAGAATGTGGCAAAGTAAACCTTGGTGTATGTTGAATTTGGAGTTCCTGTTGGTCCCGTTTCGCGAGGAGATTACACTTCATTAAAAAATATCGACTCCCTGCATACACGTGTTTCTGTTCGTTTTGAGGGGAGAGGGAGGGAACCAGAGCCCCGGGGGAGGTAGGGGGCCCAGGGCCCGGGGAGATATGAACAAATAATTATCGTTTTGAAAAAATATCGATATTTCCGGGCAGCCCCTTACTGGGCCGCTATTCATACACTGTAGCTGGTTACATGTTGTCCTTCGTCAGGTCAAGTCGGTAGGAAGCGTCCTAGCTCTTGTGCCCGAAGCTGCCAACTCCTTTTCCGCTTTTCATTAAATATTTCCTCTACACAAAAACATCCGTTTTGGAACAGGGCTTTCTTTCAGGATGACCAGGTTATGAAGACCATGCCGCCGAAATGATTTGGAGCTTAATAACAACATTTAAAAGGGGTCAGCGAGATGCGTTATATAAAATCACTTCTCATGCCAGGTGCATGAATCTGATTTCAGATTGGAGCGGTTTCTACGTCCGTACGTTGATGAGCATATTATATTGGTGAAAGGAATCTTGTCAAGATTTGTCAAATATATGCGGCCCAGTTTTCAGGCCTGCATATAGGTGTAATAGCGCAAATGAAAATTCCATAATAAAATGCGATGATATCTCATGGTTGTACCTTTTGTTAATCATTGTGTTTCCTCCTCCAGAGATATATGTGCAAAGAATGTCATGGTGACTCCAGAAGGCAACGTTAAACTGATTGGTAAGCAGAATCAACGCCCGTTCCACTGCTTGTACTTTATCGTGCATGTACTGTACTGCTCAATGTACTCCAGTCGCGTTAGTCAGTTTTCCTGCTTGCACGATTTCGCAGCCCAGTGTTCGTGGATATAATTATCGCTGCGCACCACCCAGCCCGTGGTACTTGAGTGACTTGACTGGCTTTCCTCGAGTATCATTAAATACGAGGGACCACGTACCAAGAAATCCAGAACAATCATTTACCAGGAAATAAAACCACCCTAAGTGATCAGATCATGTTTAATGAGAAACAAATTACGACCAGCTATTTGTACAGTAGTAGAATATCATCGGTACCTTCAGTCCTCCAAGTTCGGTGACGGGGTGATTTTCATTGTCGAGTTATAGTTCATGAGTTTGTCGCAGTGTCTTACCTGTCTTGGCGTCAGCCTATAACGTTCGTCACTCTTTGTGGCCGTGGGGCATACTCCTTCCAGTTTCGTTCCTTAATGTATGTTGTTGTTGTATACTTTATTCATAGTGGAAATAAAAAAAAAACACTTTATGACTGTATTATTCCGTTACCTTGGTAGTCTGTATTGCTATGTATGTCATAATGCGTCCCATTTTTTTCGCCAGGTTCTTAAACTTCTTAGTTCTTTGTCTTCTTTATAAGATTTTTTTAGAGATTAAAATCTGTTAAATTTGAAACTGCCAAATATTTACTAGTATGATAAAACAAAGGCCAAAGGCTTAAAGCAGCAATTGGGCAAAATCAACGGGTCAAGAATATGTGAGATATGCGGAGGTGTAAATTAAGGACTTCAATCGTAAAAAAACTGGAGCCGTTGTGACCAGTGAAAGCGATAGTTCACTAAACGAACTTGTTGCATCTCTTGTGTGGGTTATTATCCCTGTTTTGTAGATTACGGAAATTGCCGTCCGGGTATTACAGTGGACGACTATTTAAGTTTTAGCTCCCGCAAAGCCCCGGAACTCATGTTCGAACCTAGACGCCCAAGGGGGCGGAAGGCGGATATGTTTGACTTGTAAGCACAAATCTCTCTCTGTCTCGCCCGCTGTCTCTCTCTCTCTATTTCCCTCCCTCTCCCTCTCTCTGTGTCTCGCTCGCTGTTTGCCTCTCTCTCTCTCTCTCTCTCTCTCTCTCCCTCTCTATCTATCTATCTCTCTCTCTCTTTCTTTCTTTCTTTCGCACTCTCGCATGCCTGGTTTGAGGTGTTGCAAGTGGATTGGTTAGTTATGTTGCCTGATGATTGCTCACTCAAGAAACTCGACGTAGCAACAGGTTTCCTTGGTGGCAGGGACCACAGCAGCTCCAAAGGGTATCGAGGGTCGAGTGATCCACAGCCGGCGATTGACGGCATTCCGAGTACAGGAAACTGTGGACTGCGCCGATAGCTCAGGAATGGCTTGATAACAACAAAGAGCGCAGCGTTAGTGGTCATCACTATACTCTTTAATGTTTAACATTTTCCCCATACAGGGGCTGCAAAGAAACGGGTATGGTTGTTCAAGCTGCGCGTGAGGAGTAATGTCCGCCTGCACTGCGCTTGCTCCCGAGGCAAGCCAAATCGTGTAGGCAGCAAGTGCAGCGTGGTGAGTTAGCTGTATGATGCATACGATGTGCATGTAGATGTACACAATCATTTGTAGGTTCCCCTCAGAGAGCTTTGCCATGAGCTGCAAAGCATCCATTTTAAAGAAATCTGCTGATACTTAGATTTTGAGGTTTTTTATTTTATGGTTCGATTCCTATCATTCATTCTTGTCAGTCTTCACGCTCCTTGAGTTCTACCGCTGCGCAATGTTGTTCAGGGACTCTTTGGGCGCGTTCGAATTGTCACTCTTTGACGTTTCGAGGAGTTTCGTTTTTCTGAAATGGTGGCCTGATTGGCCTCTTCAGGAAAACGAAGCCCCTCGAAACTCCACAACCTTATTCGATGGGAGAGGTGGGTTAGCTCCGAAGAGTTTGGAATGGCCAGACCACATAGTACGTGGAGATGGTCGATCTGATCGGACGTCATCATCACCATGACAATTCCACTGAAAACCTCCAAAATGATAGAAACCGTTCTAATGGGACACTCCAACTATCCTGTTAAAAAAACTGTGTTGGAACCGTTGATGAAGTCAATTCCAACGCGCCCTTAGTAAGGTGTAAAGAATCAAGTCAGAGTACAGTGAAACCTGTCAAGGCGACCACTCGGATAAGGTGACCACCTGTCCCAGAGGACCACTGTTACCAGGACCAAGGGATGCCATTTCCAGTCTAATGACCCTGGATAAGGAGACCACCTGGCCATGGAGACAACATTTTGAATGTTCCCTGAGTTGTCGTCTTAGACAGGTTTCACTGTAATTAATACTACACGCACCATCAAGTAGTTTGCAGACGCTGTTGGCGTGCGCTGTACAACACAGTCTGGTTATGTTCGTCATGCATCCCCTTGCAGTACTCTCTTTGTTTCTCTCCTTATTAATCAGTTCGCCGTGGTTGACTACCACCCGACTTCTCATATATATTGGCAGTCTTCTGACGAGCCAGGAGATGTTGAATTAATAATAATAATAATGTTAATTATACACGATATGTGTTCCGATGCATGCACTGAGAAACACCTTCTGTAAGGAAACCTCCACTTCCACTTCTGTATAGTTCCCGAGATGGGTGCGGGAAAAATGTATGTTGAAATTGAACGGTAAAACCTGGTGTAAGCGACCTCTGTTTTTAGCGACCACCGGCTCTTAACGACCTTTTTTCCATGCACGGACAGTTCCACACGTACACAGACACTGTGTGACATACCTGGTTCTAAAGACCACCTGGCTTATACGAACTCTTTTCCTTGCACGGCGGAGTTGTCGTTTAATTAAGGTTGCAGCCTAATTTCATAATTATGGCTTTCAATTGACCGTAACTTTGGTTTATCTGAATGGATTTGAGTGAAATTTTCACCACACCCTCCACACTATCCTGGCCCTCGGGACATGATTTAAAAGTTCTTGCGCCTTACTGACAGGCTTTCCAGGCCGAAAAAACTCCAAATTCCGCCATAGTGCCACGGTGTGCGAGCCACCCAGGAGCCAAACAAATGCATTTACAATTTTTCACATTTTCTTGCCCATTCTGCTCGTGCGCGGGATCCAAACCTAAAAAAAACGTCCAGAAGAAGCCATGGGTGGTGGGATAGGGCCCCTCAACGTGGCCCTGGAATCTGTTACAACGGCAGGAGTGGGCGTTCTCTCACAGACTCCCACAGACCCAAGT